GGACCTGGTTTTAGCAGCTCCTGGACCTGGTTTTAGCAGCTCCTGGATCAGAGAAATGAACCTTCAGCTGCACCGCAGTGAACAAACGACCGTAGATGGTAGAAGCTGCAGTTCAGGCGTGTCGCTGTGTCTAAAACCAGTTAGGACCAGTTTCTAATGACTACAGATTATTTCAATTCAGTTTATTTCTAAAGCACCAAATCACAACCAAGTTGTCTCAGGGACTTTACAGGAACATTCACATAAAAGCCAGTTAGTAAAGTTCTCTATCTAAGAATCCAGCAGACAAGATGAATCTTGGCTTCGTTGCAGTCTCCCATCCTGAGCAAGCACAGTGGAGACAGTGGGAAGAAAAACTCCCTTTAACAGGAAGAAACCTCCAGCAGAACCAGGATCAGGACAAGAGACCATCTGCTTTGACCGGCTGGTTGAGAGGACAGGAAGGAGAGACAGACGAACACAGAATGGTAGGTCCAGGTCCAGGTCCAGATATAGGTCCAGGTCCAGGTATAGGTCCAGGTCCAGGTGTATCTGAAAGACAAAAACATGAAAAAATAATTACAAATACAAACAGGTTGAGCAGAGTAAGTAAAGACGGCAGCAGAGTGAAAAGTGTGGTCAGTTTGTCCTCCAGCAGTCTAAGTCTATAGCAGCAGAACTAAGGGACAGCTCAGGAAACCCAAGCTGACCCTAACTATAGGATTTGTCAAAAGGAAAGTCTTAATCCCAGTCTTAAACTGGACAATGTGTCAGCCTCATGGACAGAAACTGGAAGTTGGTTCCACAAGAGAGGAGCCTGAGAACTGAAAGATCTTCCTCCCATTCTGTTTTTGTAAACTCTAGGAACCACAAGTAAACCTGCAGTCTGAGAGTGAAGTGCTCTGTTAGGAAAATATGAAACAATAAGATCTGAAATATAAGATGGAGCTAGGTTGTTGAGAGCTTTGTAGGTTAGAAGTAAGATTTTGAATTTTATTCTGGATTTGACAGGGAGCCAATGGAGAGAAGCTAAAACTGGAGAGATATGATCTCTCCCAGTAACTCCAGTTAAGACTCTGGCAGCAGCATTTTGGATCAACTGAAGACGTTTTAAAGAAGTATTTGGACACCCAGATAATAAACCATTGCAACAGTCCAGTCTAGACGAGACAAATGCATGGACCAGTTTTTCTGCATCATCTTTAGATCAGATGTTTCTAATGTTAGTGATATTACGCAGGTGGAAGAAGGAGGTTCTAGTAACGTTTTTAATGTGGGGGATAAAAGACATGTCCTGATCAAAAATAACACCAAGATTTTTAACATTAGAGCTGGAGGACAGATTAATGCATCTAAGGAGGGAGAAAGACTGAAACATTCATTCCTAAGGTGCTCAGGTCCAAAAACCAAAACCTCAGTCTTGTCTGTTCAACAGGAGAAAATTAAGGGTCATCCAGGTTTTTATGTCTTTAAGACATGCTTGTAGTCTGAGGCTGCATTCACATCAGTCCTGTTTAGTCTCTTTAATCCAACTCCAGCTCGTTTTCCTAGAAAGTCCGGTTCCTTTAGGGAGGTGTGAACGCACCATCGAACTCTGTCACGGAACAAAAAGGTGAACTCTGGCCCGGGCTAAAACCTAGGTCTGGGTCCGGTAGAAGAGAACTCCAGTGGTTCCAGTACAGTGTGAATGTAAACAGACCGGACCTGCTCCACAGGACAAACACACATTTCTCTCATATGGAGCCGTCAGCTGACTTGTGTGAAGAACAATATTCTCCATGGTCTTCTGTCTCATCTTCTGCTCATGCTGAGTCCATTGTTGAAAAATGACTAAATATAACTCCTAAAACTGATAAAACTTGATGCCACTTCGTTTTTATTTTTATTTACAGAAGAAGAAGACGTGTCATCAGAGATTTTTGTGTCGTTTCTTTCAGTAGTTCTTTGTGCAGCGCCCCCACAGGCGAGTGGGGGAACAGGTCAACAGGTTGGTTCAACAGGTTGCTTCAACAGGTTGGTTCAACTGGTTGGTTCAACTGGTTGGTTCAACAGGTTGCTTCAACAGGTTTGTTCAACAGGTTGGTTCAACTGGTTGCTTCAACAGGTTGACTCGACTGCACAGTGCAGTGTGAATGCAAACGCACCAGCTCAAATGTAACAAAAGGTCATGAATATTGGTCCCGAACCGAGTCCACCGGACTATCTGGTGTGAAAACAACCTACGTAGCTGGTTGGATTCATTGGGTTTAATGGACAAATATAATTGTGTGTCATCAGCATAACAATGAAAATTTATCCCATGCTGTTTAATAACTTTACCTAATGGAAGCATATATAAAGTAAAGAGTATTGGTCCAAGCACTGAGCCCTGAGGAACTCCATGACTAACTTTAGTGTATGATGAAGATTCATTATTTACATTTACAAACTGGAATCTATCAGATAGATATGATTTAAACCATTTTAGAGCTGTTCCTGTAATCCCAACATCATATTCAAGCCTCTGTAGTAAAATATTGTGATCAACTGTATCAAATGCAGCACTGAGGTCTAACAGGACCAGTAGAGACACAAGTCCATTGTCTGAGGCCATGAGAATATCATTAGTGACTTTTACTAGTGCTGTTTCTGTGCTATGATGAGCTCTAAACCCTGACTGAAACTCTTCAAACAGATTATTTCTTTGTAGATGTTCACACAACTGACCTGCAACTATTTTCTCTAGAATGTTTGAGATGAAAGTTAGATTAGATATAGATCTATAGTTGGCCAGAATTTCTGAATCAAGGTCAGACTTCTTAAGTAAAGGTTTAATTACAGCAACCTTAAAGCTCTGTGGTACATAACCATCCATTAAAGACAAATTAAGTAGATCCAAAATGTGGACATTAATTAGTGGAAATAGCTCTTTAAACAGTCTGGTTGGGATGGGATCTAGCAGGCATGTGGATGGGATCTAGCAGGCATGTGGATGGTTTGGATGAGGTTATTACTTTTGACAATTCAGAGCTCAACAGGACAAAAACTGTCCAAACATAAATCAGGCTCTAGTGAAATTTTTAAAGTTGTCTCATTTGACACAGAACCAGAGGCGATAGTAGAAATGTTGGTTTGAATTTTCTCTCTAATGGAAATAATTTTATTTATAAAGAATCTCATGAAGTGATCACTACTTATAGCTGTAGGGATACATGAATCAACAGAAATGGGACTTTTAATTAGTCTTGCAATAGTACTAAACAGAAACCTGGGGTTATTTTTATTCTCCTCTATTAAAGATGAGTAATATAAAGTTCTAGCTTTACGGAGAGCTTTTTTATATGTTAGCAGACTATCTTTCCAAGTTAAATAAAATTCTTCAACATTAGTAGAGCGCCATTTTCTCTCCTGGTTTCTAGATGCTGCTTTAAAGTACGTAACTCAGAATTGAACCAAGGAGCCAGTTTCCTCTGATTGATTACTTTCTTTTTCAGTGGAGCAATTTTATCAAGTGAAGTTTGCATTGAAGTTGTAAGATGATCAACTAGATGATCTAAGTCTCTGTTCTCTGATGCATTACTCTGCAAGACAGAGGAAAACATTGATGGAAGAGATTGTTTCAATTTGGTTACAGCATTTTCTGATAAGCACCTGCTGAGATGAAATTTACTCTCAGTGACTGTGTAGTCATTTAATGTAAACTCAAAGTTATTAAAAAATGGTCGGACAGAACAGGATTTTGAGGAACTATTACCAAGTCCTTAATCTCTACACCATAGGTCAGAACTAAATCAAGAGTGTGATGATAAGAATGAGTAGATGTGCGGACGTTTTGGGTAAAACCAAATGAGTCTATTAAATTATTAAAGGCTATGCTTAAACTATCACTCTCAACATCCACATGAATATTGAAATCACCCATTATGATGATTTTATCAGTATTTAATAGTAAGTCAGTTAATAATTCTGATAATTCAGATAAAAACTGAGAGTAAGCTCCTGGTGGACGATATATAACAACTAGTAAAAGTGGCTTTTCTGATTTCCATTTTGGATGAGAAAGACTGAGGGACAGTGATTCAAAAGAATCATAACTAATAACTGGTTTGGCATTAATCAATAATCCTGACTGAAAAATAGAAGCTACTCCTCCACCTCGGCCAGTTGTTCTAGGAACATGAACATTTAAATAATTAACAGGAGTGGATTCATTTATACCAACAAAATCCTCCTGTTGTAGCCAAGTTTCTGTCAGACACAATAAATCAATATGATGATCAGTTATCAGTTCATTAACTAACAGGGATTTAGAGGAAACAGATCTGATGTTCAATAATCCACATTTAATGATTTTATGATTTTGCTCTGGTAAAGTAAATGTGTTTATTTTAATCAGATTTTTATGGTTTATATTTTTAGAGCTGATTTTTGGTTTATTTAATTTGAGCCGTGGGCGAGTTGACACTGTTTCAATGTGGGTGTGGGTGGTGTACAGAGGAGAAGCAGCAGAGGGGTGGAGGACTACACCTCTGCTTCCTGGACTGGACCCTGGGTTGTCAATAATTTGGGGGATAAACAAAATCATCCATATTTCTAGAAAGAAGAGCAGCTCCATCCAAAGTGGGATGGATGCATCTCTCCGCATCAGACCAGGTTTTCCCCAGAAAGAACTCCAGGTATCTGTGTAGCCCACGTCGTTGTCAGAACACCACCTGGACACCCAGCGGTTAAACCACGACATACGGCTAAACATGTCATCGCTGGTCAGGTTGGGGAAGGGGCCGGAGAAAACTACGGAGTCTGACATGGTTTTATAAAGTCACACACCTAAGCAACATTAATTTTAGTGACCTTCGATTGGCGTAACCGGGTGTCATTACCGCCGACATCCTCCACTGATCTGATGGGCTGGATCCAACAGAACATCTGGGAGACAACTGGTGGATTTAAGGAACTGCTTTTAAAAATGGACGGTTGAGTTTGAAAATGTAAACCGTTCACAGGCCGGCCAAGGAGGAGCTTCCTGCTGTCCTGGACAAGCGGTCCAACGTGTTTGACGATGATGAGTTCGACGTCTTCCGCAGGGACCAGGTGGACATGTCCCGTATCTGGAAGGGCAGGAGGTACAGCCACAAAACCCACTACTTCTGTTACAACCTGAGCTGGTGCTGTTTGTTGTTCTGCTTCGCGGGACGTTGCACGTCTTTTCATCCTGCAGGAAAGGCGAGAGCACTCGAGAGACGCTCAACGACAAAAAGCACGTAGCAGAGCAGCGAGCTCGTTACCAGGCCTACGAGACCGTGGTGGACGAGGTCGAGGTCGATCCCGCCGCCGGCTACGCTCCGGACGACTACGAGGACGAGTACGACGACACGTACGACATGAACCAGGTGGGAGCCAACGACCTGGACGGGGACAGTTTGCTCAGCAGAAGGTACGTTTCCTCCTCCATGAAATCGTGACGCGCCCAAGTCCCACTTAAAGGTTCTGGTTTGTTTTCCAGGCCCTTCACCGTCCCACAGGTTCTGAGGAAAGCAACCAAAGCAGAGGAGGAGGAGGGTGAAGAAGACGAGGAGGAAGACGTTTTCCAGGTCCTCAAGTCACACAAGTCCCAGACTTTAGCAACATTTAATCTTGTGGTATTGAAAGTTTAAAGACGGAGCGGTTCAAACATGGAGCTTTAAATCACGTGAACAACCTGCAGGTCGACGCTTCTCGTGAAATCACCGACGTTTGAGTCTCGTCGTTCACCTTTTCATGCATTTTGTGCTCAACAGTTAAAATGTGAAGCACGAACCTGAAGAACAAGCAGCGAACTGCTTCATTACTGAAGAACACGCAAACATGCAGTTTAAAGTCCTTCTCTAGAATATTACTAGTTCTAATACGTACATACATAATATCTGTAGAAT